TGTCTACATTCAATGATAATCTTCCATATAGATCTGTAACAAATTAGTCCTTTGATAGCCGCCTGGCTGTCAGAAAAGATACTACTGTATACAAATTAAGAGATGAATTCATCAGCCATCTTTCAGCTTTGTTTATTGCTGTAAATTCAGCTTGAAAAATGCTGAAGAGGTCTCTGGAAGACGGAAAATGAGGCTAAGAGAGAGTTCTTGCGAGTAATCCCCACTCGCTAGTTCAGATCTAACTTGGAGCTATCGGTGTAGATGGCTGCCGAATCAGACCTATTGTGAACAGAACTGTATGCTCCTTCCATTCATTAATTGAGAGGATTCTTGTTTTAAAATGATTTCTCAGTCCAGAAAAATGATCCGTTGTTTGTCATGGGGCAAGCACTGTACTTAGAAAATTAAGTCAAGTGGAACAACTCCGCTGATCTTCATAAAAAGGAAATTGGCCATTACCCTCAGCAAATTAATTCCTAGCGGTTGTCACACCGAAGGGGGAAACGGAGAAGGGGTTGGGTTTTAGTGCGGTTAGGCGAAAGGTAAGTCCCCCACTTATCGGCTTTCAAAGCTTTGTGACAACTCTACAGAAAAAAAAAATGTAGATACATTAGAGCGGGTCAATTTATATGGGTGATTTTTTCGACTATGCGCGACTAGCAAGGGGGACTCTACTTGTAATTCTAAGCGAATTCGCCGAAGATACCATGGGTCTAAAATCAATTCGGAGTTTGCAAAGTTGCGAAAATAGGTTTCTTAGCATTTTGCTGGAGTGTCGTATGGAAGTGCTTGAATTTTGTATAAACACATGCTATAAGGGGTCTTTTGGTATGAGGAACCCATTTATGCATTTATCTTCTTTATAAAACCTCCACCAGAGGGCGCAATAGGGAAAATTTTCATATTTTCTTGGAAACCTATTTTCCCAATTTGGCAAACTCCAAATTGATTTTAGACAAATGACGTCTTCGGAAAATTTGTTTAGAATTACACGTAGAATCCTCCTATGCTATACGCGTGTAGTAAAAAAAAATACCCGCCCTAATGTACATACATACATATGTATGTAGAATTGAAATACGGTTATCAGAAAAATCGATTTGACACCTAGGCGGACGCGTGCACATATATAGACAAATATTTTTACATGAAAGTGAGGTACCTAAGCACACAAGCAGATAAGCATTTCATGCATATATGTACATATGCGCATAAATATGTATGCTGTTGAGCACACACATACATATGTATGTACACTGGCGGCAGAAATGATAGACTCGTTGTACTTTTAAGAATTTTGGCTATATTTCTTTACATAGTTTATTTTATGTTTAATATTTTTTTATAAAAGCCTAGGTAGTTATACAACAAACATCATATAGATCCCCTTTGCAAACTTTGAATAAAAATTAGAAAAGGTTTTACCAAATATTCAAACATTTTATTCAGAATTTTGAGAAAAATTGTTGGTATGCAGTTTTGTAGCCCATTTAATTTTAGTACAGAACACCGTTGATTTTTAAGAATTCTTTTTGCTGATGGTGTCACGCATTTTTTCCCATACAAAGTGTGCTTGAAATTTTTTTTTTTTAATATGGAAGAGAATGGCTAGCTAGTATCGTCAACAAAAGAAATTGTCAAAAATCAACGGTGTTTTTTTAGCCATTTGAAACTTGACTTTATTATACTGAAATTAAATGGGCTACAAAACTGCATACCAAAATTCTAAAAATTAAGATTTAAAAGTTTACAAATTTTTGTGAAAATTTGTCGAATTTTTATTATTTTTGTATACAGTTTGAAAAGAGGATTTATATAGTTTTTGTTGTATAAGTAGCCAGGCTTTTATAAAAAAATATTAAAAATAAAATAAACCAAAGAAATATAGCCAAAACACTTCAAAGTAAGGCGAGTCTATTATTTCTGCCGCCAGTGTTTGTATGCAGATTATTTTATTTGCCTTAGCAACTCTTTGCTAAATCAGGAAGATACAGATGCAGTTTGTGGTGAAAAGGTAAATAATTGTAATGCTCAAGTATGTTTGTTTACTCGTATTATGTTCTTGCTCTTTTTCTTCCTATTAATGTACGTACTTATGTATGGGTATATGCATCTACCCATCTACATCATGTAATTTAAGCCAGAACTGTTTGTGTTAATTTTTGTCTTACCTGCTTCGCCCTGATAAGTAAGTCTCAACAAATATATGGCTTAGGAACCAAATATGAGAAAACTGCGTAATACGTACAATTGCAACGCTCTGTTCGGCGGTTGAAGGATGCTATTGGTGATGTTAGTTCAGGCGTAATATGTTTAATAAATGACAGAAAACTGCAAATTGTGGTGAATATAGGTACACAAATAAAATTCACTGCAGCACAGTCGTGGGTTTTGATTTCGTAAAATTTCGAATTTTCGTCAGCGAATGAATTTTTCGGCTAATACAAATTGTATGCTCACTTCACTCAGCTAAATTATGCGCGCGCATTTGCAACAACACTCGCGGTACAAACGTTTTCAAGCTCAGGTCAGCACACATATAAAAAATATAAAAGGATACACAAAGCAGTGTTATTGTTGTGCAGTTTTTTTATTTTTAAGGTTTCTCAAATTCACCCTACAACGCCCACACAAACACGTTTGTTTATTTGCTTAACAAGCTCAGTGGCTTACAATTACACTTCTCATTCAGCTGTAAGGCTTCTCAAAATAAGGATATTTGCCGCTCAGCGAGGATAATTTCTGTAAAGATGCTGGGTTCACTCTGAGTTTGAGATTTATACTCTTTTTGTTGTTCTTCTTGCTTTATTCACTGGCGAGTGCACAAACTCAATCAAATTAAAGCGACCAAATTTTTATTTTATGTATTACATAGATATGTATGTATTTTATGTGCTTCTTGCTAAAAAAAACTCTTGTATTTACTAGAAGAAAATTCTAATCACTACAAGCGTTTGAGCGCGTTGAAGACAAACTGATTTCAATAAGCGAATATTTCCAGCGCTGGGCAATGGTTATGGAATCTACTCTCTCCTTGGCCAGACATGGATGGCATGGCACTACTCAATGTGGTTGTTGATACCATGCCGAAATGTAGATGAGATGAGTAATCATGGCTGCAGTGAGCTTCGTGGTTGAGTGAGAGTGTTGTGAGCACAGTGAGTATGAGTTGAGAATGGAGTACAATTTCGTTTTGAGTGAAACCTTTACTGTAGCCAGCAAATGGTTATTTCAGAGCTTATGTTATTATCAAAACCATTTCTTTTACGTACTCTACCTACTAACATGAGTTCTTACAGAGCGATTTATTTCATTGATATTTGAACTCATGTAAAATTTGACTCAAAAACATTTGCTGAGATTTTTCGGCCTTACAAGTTTTTGTTTAATATTTGAACTGGTTTTCGTTTCGTGCTTTGAGTGTATTTTTATTTAATCTGTACATATGTATATATCTAATACATACATATACACATACATACAAATGTTCTTTCATCGAAAGCAAGTGTTATCTTAGGCTTCTGAAAGCCTTCCCTGCAAACCACGGATGCTTACAAATAAACAGACATATATTTTAAAATGAATTTATATTTACATCTATATTTAAGTTCACTGTATCAATCACACATAAGTTAATAAGGAACATGTGTACTTGCTGGCTGATTGTGCACATATGGACATATGTACATATGTATGTATGAACATACATAATGTAAGCACATAAAAGAGTGATTAAGTTAATAAAATATACATTTGTATGTACATATATACATACATGTAACTAGATTTAATCCTTTAGCGGTTCTTATCAGCACTTAGTGCTTAAGTACATAGATTCATATGTTTGTGTTGTATGTACATAAATAATTCATAAATAATACTAAATATGTAGTGGCAGTAAAAAAAGAAACGCCTTATTTCAACAAGTTTAATCTATATTGCATTTGTTTATTTAATATTTAAATTTTTTATAAAAGTCTACCTCATTTTACATATAATTAAATGCATTTAAATGCGCATTACAAAATTTGAACAAAAATAATAAAAATGCAGAAAAAAAGTTGCCAAAATTTCAAACTTTTTACTCAGCATTTTTAGAAAATTTTGAGGTACGCAATTTTATAGCCCATTAAACTAAAGTAGGATAAATGCAAGTTTCATGCAGTTACAAAATGTTGTTAATTTTGGGGATTTTTTAAACGATGCTGGGCATTTTCTTCCAAATTGTCGTACATACTTTGTATGGAAGAAAATGCGTTACACCGCCAGTATAAAAAATCAGCGTTACTTTTAGTCACTTGAAACTTGTACTATATCCTCCTGTAATTTAATGGGCTATATTTATAAAATTGCGTACCTAGAATTTTTCTAAAAATTCTGAGTAAAATGATTGAAACAGGTTGAAACAAATTATATCAATATAAGTATACTCACTACACTATGGGCCAAATATAGTAAAACTGCGTTTTAGTTTCGTTTAGCGTTTATAATTTCAAAGTTATGTATGATAAATTCTAGAAATTATTTAAAAAGTTCAGTGCAATGTAGAATAAAAATGGGCACCAAATGAAAGAGAAAATTCTTTAGGATTCAAAAAATTTGAAACTTTTTTGGTTCACAAAGACGAATAGGTATTGAAAAAGCCTTTTTAAACAATTTTATTTTTTAAGCTAATAAAGTTAGAAGGACTATATTCGAGGACGTCGTCGAGTTTATATTAGTCCTTAACATATAATTTTTTCAAAATAAATATAGAAATACTTCAAGGATATTCAAAGATAAAATTTTTAATAACATTTTCAATACCTTATGCACCAAAACATTTAATCTATCTGTTCTTTCTCTACAGAGTTTTCTCTTTAATTTATAATTAGCCAGACATTTATAAAAAATATTAAATATAGAAAGAAATATGGCAAAAACTGGTCAACATAAGGCGGGCGTTTCTTTTATTACCACCATTGCAAATTCCAAATTCCGAACATCTCGGGATTATTTGCCAATAATTTTTCTGCACTTAAAATCACGGGATTAATATCCCAAGTATATGTGTATATATATATATATATATATATATATATATATACCTATACTATAATAAAACTGTAGAAAAGTCGTATCTGCACATTGAGAATTTCTTTATTAGAATAACCTAAGGTGATGGAGAGCACACATTTTGACCATTTTTAGAATCTTTGTCTGTTTAAACTCACTAATCTCCGGAGCTACTGAATGGATTTTCAAGCGGCTTTAACTGGTGACATAGCGCATAAAAAATGGGCTCTGCCAAAGGGGTGTGGCACCTCCCCGTAGGCGTTGGAACCATTACGAATAGACAGCTAAAAGTAAGGCCCTGTTGTAAAGTAAAGAGGGGCGGGAGTTTGCCCGAGGTCGTAGCATCTCCCATAGATGGCATATTATGTACAAAGCACCATAACTTTGGAACCATAAGTCACGTGACACAAAGCCTCAAGTTAAAAATTGGAGCGGCTTTTATTCTTTTTCCGGTAGTTTGGTTCACCTTATCCTAATATGGAATAGTATTGGTGGTAAAAGAAATCATGGCCAATATAATTGCCACATACCTTCCATTCGAATTTAAAAATCGCCAGTATTCTTCGAGGCTTTGCTTTGACGCCAGTTATATATCGGATGGTCACGAGTGGAATGTCCGAATTAGAGATGGGCGCGGGACTAAATATTCAATACCGATCCCAAGAAACAAGTTTCAAACGAAATTAACGTGTGGGTTTATCTCCAGAATCCGGATTAGTATCTAGTAAAAGCATGTGTGGCTAATTAAAAAAAAAAAAAAACAGTTTAGTGGGTATGCATATGCTTATATTCTGGGATACCCTAGTATGCATTTATACATACATAAGTACATAGATATAATATACATACATAGTGCAAACACATGCCCGTATTTTCCATGTTTAATCTCTTTCCCTCGATTTTTGCCATCCATCCACCAGCGCATTTGTTTGTTTTCATAAATTTCTTTGATGATTGATTACCGGCTACAAATTGAACGGGTGGTTGCCTGGGATTATTACTTGCGGCCCGCTGAAGGTTTGAATGCCAGTCCGTGCAATTGTCTCGTCTGCTAGATGGATAGCTATGCAGCTGAGAAGATGGATGGCTAGCGTTATATATACGTATGTATGTATGTATGTATGTAGTTAGTGGAAGAATGGCTTCTCCATTTTCATGCTCTAGTAGCACCCGCTTGTTGTTGCTTTGGCGACTTCTTGCTTGAGAGATAAGCGGCCAACTGGCGGAATTACTGATAGCAGCCAAAGTTTTTTTTTGTTTTTTGTTTTATTGCAATGCGCTCTAATGAATTTGTTCTTTGTTGATGTTTCTCTTTACACAGCTTATTTACAATTTTCACGTTTTGTTTTCTGTTTACATTCGATGTTGTTTGCATTCGCTGGCCGCCTGCATTTTGCGCTCACTTTGACACTTCCCGGCTTAACTCTCCTTCGTCCGCTAAATATTAAGGCTCTGTTATGCATACTTGGCATTGCTTGAGAGTTGTCACATAAGGAATCTGTTAAATGAGCTTCGCGTGTAAGCGGTTACCCAACGCACAGCATTACATACGTAAAAGTCTGTTGGTTTTTGATTTCTACGTAAAAATGGTATAGCAGTGCATGCAATGCCAAGTATGCATAACAGAGCCTTTATTCAACTATGGCATTTATTTTTAGTCCAACGCTCAACTGATAAGCATTTATTTTTCTATTTATTAATAACAAATAAGTATGTATTATTATCTTTTTTGTTGCTGCTGTTGATCTGTGTAAAATTTGTTGGGTTTACTGATTGGCATGACACAAAAGTCTATCCATGGTACAATAATTTATGACTGGTCAAATAGTAGACGGCAAATATAAATAGTAGGTAGGTAAATGCGTAACAAAATCGTATGCGCTAAATCAAATAGTGAAAAATCTGTAATAATATGCATATGCATATGCGTATGTATGTATGTAAATACGTGAGCTACATATTAAATTACTTAAACATTTTCGTGGTTTTTTTCACTATTTTTGCTGATAACTTGTTAAAGCTGGTTATGTTGCAGCGCTGTGTTGAAATTGGAGCGCAAAAGTATGGTACAGTGGCGGCGCTCTATGTAGGAAATAATGATAATCGGGAAGAGTTTTTCGAAAAGTGTCAACTTTGACGAAGTATGTATATACGCAGATACATATGCAGTGTTGCTATTTGAGCCGTTTTCCGGCTAGATTTAGCCGGTTGCGACAGCAAACAGCCGGAGAAAATTTCGTTTTAACCGACAGGCGATTTGTTAGCCGTTTTGCAAAAAAAAATTAGTCGTTTTGAGCCGATTTTGCTATTTTCTATTCGCCTTATTTTATTAAAATTTAAATATACAAGTTTTTATTTTTACATATTTAGTGATCCCGAATCTATTAGAAATGGCTCGGAGAAAATTTTCATGTCGGGCTGTGTTATATAAAATTGAAAAACAATTAGATAGCAGGGACCGTAACAGTTCAACTTAAAAAAAAAATCGCTGTTTAATAATTAATTTTTGATGTTTATTTAATTACTCCTTAAATAACCGTTATTTTTGATTTTTATCTAAATAATCTGCAAATAACAGTTATTTTTGATTTTTAAATTATATGTCTTAGATAATAGTTATCGGAGACTTTTATTTATAAAAGGTATAAATAAAAATCAGTCACTGACCTTTATTTTTTAAATCATACTTTTAAAAGTCATTTGTAAAAGTCGTAGCAAACTTTTGTTTCCCAACACCTTGTAAGCTGCGAAAAATGTTAATGACTTTTACACGAATGATTTAAAAAATAAAAATCAGTGACTCATTTATATTGATGACTTTTAAAAGTAAAAGTCGCTGGCTGATATCTATTGATGACTTTTATAAATAAAAGTCTTCTATAACTGTTATCTAAGCCCTATAATATAAAAATCAAAAATAATTGTTATTTTGGATTTATAATGTAGAAATCAAAAATAAGTGTTTTTTTTTTAACTTTGCATAAAAATTGCAAATAAAAATTTAATTTCAAATTTGAGTCTTAGTAAAACAAGAAATCAATTGGTATATATCACTTAGTTATAGAACATTTCCTTCATAGTGAATTTTTCCAAGACAGTTTTCATCAATAACTGTTATGTTCGGTCCCTGTCAGCCAATTTAAATGTTTTTTTTTTTTTTGTTTTAAGCGAGTGACCCAAATACATATAAACTGGGACGCGCCATTTTAGCTGATTAAAAGGATACAAATTTTGCTGAAATTTTGCAGAATTTTTATAAATTTTACACAAATTGTGAAATCTGTTTGTAGTATATGTTGTTTGTTAAGTAATGAGCTACATATTCATAAAAAATTATAAACATTAAATAAACTAAAGAAAAATAGGCAAAACTTGCTTTAACTTTGTATCTCAATTAATATTTGGGAGGATTTGGATTTTCTTCATTAAGTTTTTGTTATGAATGTCTTAAATTTAAGTGTGAAGTTCTATTTGCTACGCTTAGAAAATAAAAGAGCACGAATTTCGATGTGAAGCAAAACTCTCTGGGAAGACAATACATGGTGCAACCATACTTTTAAAATTTTATAAAATGAAACTGCAGTAGTTTTCATCTTATGTGGATAATTCTTGTGACAAATACATAGTTTCATGCTTATATTTTTTGTATATATATTTTATAGCAGCACCACATCTTTATCGAAAAGTTACGAGACTCCAAAAATTGGTACTGTTACAAGTTGCAGGGCATCATTTTAACTCGACCTCCTTAAAAAAATAGTTTGCGTCAGGGCGTCGAATAACATAGGAATATAGAGGTTTGGCTCAATATGCAGAAACTTTTTTTTTGTAATATGCCACGCCAACAAGATCAAACGGATTTGCACTTTTGCCGAAGATTTTGGCGTCCTTTAATTAATCGTATCGCTTCTTCGCTTTGAAATCTAACGACTTACGATAAAGAGATCGATTGCAATACTGCCATATCGAGTTTTTGATGTTCTCCTGATAACTTAAATCCATGGTGACTTAAATCAGTGACGCTTAAACCATGGTTATTGACCCAATGAAATACCTAAAATATCCTCCAATTTCTTATTTATAAAACCAAGGGATTTTTAAAACTTCTCCTATTTTCCTCTTAGCTGAATCTTTAAACGATTTAAAAGTTCCCGATATTCTGCTGAAATTGAACTGTATTATAGTACTGTGTATTCGCGTTATATATGTTTTTTTCATTTCTAAATAGTTCAAGTAACTTCTCTGCACATCGCATAAATTCCTGAAAGCTTCGACGTTGAATTGAATTTGAGCTATTTCTGGAATTTTCATCCACACAAATATGAAAACATTAGATGACATACATACATACATAAGAGTTTTTTAATATTTGTTGCTGTGTTAATATGAAACGAGAAAGACAGCAAGCGACTACGAAACTTTTTTTTTTGTCTATGACTATGAAACTAGTTTAGCGATAAAATGCCGATAAATGATGAGTAGCTGTAAGGACAGTGTACAAAAATTCTATATGTCTGAAATACACATACATAGTTCTCAAATTTTCGCTAAAGGTACCGCTGTAAGTAAGGAAATTCCAAATCTATTTTAGGGTTTTTCATATCCCATGTCATCAGCGTGAAAGCAAAGTGTAAAGTGTTTCCGTAACGCTTTGCTTGAATTGGTGGCCCTACCCTTTGCCAATGACTCATTTACTAAAATATAAGGCTGCATATCGTCGTTTAAAGTACAAAACCGCGTATCGTCATTCTGCAAAACCGCGTAACTGACATTGGCTGCCAAAAATTGGATTTGCTCACACAAGCTCTTGACTCAATCCTTATCCATTCGTCCTGAAATATACTACCCAGAAATGCGATTGCTTTATAAAAAAGAAAACCATTTAGAAATATGAGTGTTTTGACGCTCTAGAAAATAATTTCTACAACTTCACATACGCGGTTTTGCATTTTGCTGATACGCGGTTTTGCACTTTAAACGACGATATGTATGTCATCTGTTTCTTTTTAGCTGACCCCTTGCTTTTTGAAGTAGGTTGAATATTAGGGATTTTGTTGGGTTTACTACCGGGCCCTATCGCGAAATTATTATCACCAAGCATGCGATAGATAAATCTATCATCCGACCCTGGATGTTATTGAGAGTCCTTCGATATCAAGGAAGGCATGAACCATGAGTAATACTGCTCATACTCTCTACAACAAGTGTAGAGCTGCTGATCTGGACCAAGAGCCTTAAACTAACTGATAGCGTCGAAGTGATATAAAGGCTGTGGAAATAAAGACGCTAGTTTTCTTTATGTTTCGAGTGCTATAATAAAGAAATGGTCTCTGCAGATGTATTGCAGAGATGAGTGCAAATAGCGTAAAGCATTGGCCGATAGGAAAATCGCTCGAAAATGTTGTAGGCGACTGTAATTTAAGCGTGCTCTGCCCAATCCACAAGAAAGGCGACTTCGCTATTCGCGCCAACTACCGCGGAATCAGCCTTCTAAGCATAGGTTACAAGGTCTTATCGAGCGTATTGTGTGAAAGACTGAAGCCCACCGTCAATGAACTGATTGGGCCTTATCAGTGTGGATTTAGGCCTGGAAAACCCACCATAGACCAGGTATTCACAATACGCCAAATCTTGGAAAAGACCCGCGAGAAAAGGATCGACACTCACCACCTATTTGTCGACTTTAAAGCCGCTTTTGACAGCACTAAAAGGAGTTGCCTATACGCCGCTATGTCTGAATTTGGCATCCCCTCAAAACTCATACGGCTGTGTAAAATGACGTTGAGCAATACCACCAGCTCCGTCAGAATTGGAAAAGACCTTTCCGAGCCGTTCGCCACAAAACGGGGTTTCAGACAAGGCGACTCCCTGTCATGTGACTTCTTTAATCTGATGTTGGATAAGATAATAAGAGCTGCCGAACTGAACCGCTCAGGAACAATTTACTACAAGAGCGTGCAATTGCTGGCTTATGCCGTGACATCGACATCATCGGTAACAAAAACCATGAAGTCTGTTCTGCCTTTTCCAAGTTGGATAAGGAAGCAAAGCGAAT